CATCATCTAGAAACAAAGACGAAAGCATAACTGAGACTGACCATCACGCGTATTCTTCTAGTTCAAATCAAAGTTTTTACTTTATCATCTTATGGTACGTATTGATATTTTTGCTTTAGCTCAGATTCAATATGTGCTTGGATCGCTTTTTAATAAAGTGATAAACATTGATAATTCATTAATATTTTTACTATCTAATAGTAAATGAAATATAGATAAATAACTTCTGATCATTCTCACAATGACTTGTTTGTATTCGATTAGAATCATAGACGAAATTAAATCAGATATATGCGTGATACTCAGATATTCTGTTCGTATAACAAAGTAATAAAAGTTGTAGAGTCGTTATGGTTGAAATTCTTTATTACGTATGCAGTATTGATCAGAGTGAAACTATTGCACTTAAGACTATGAGAAAAATAAAATTTTATTTTATCTGTTTACTGACTAATGTAATACCGTGCGTTGGTGTACTATCGAAAGTGTCAACTATTGTATAGAACAGATTATAGAATACAAAACTACAAAGACTGTTTCATAAGAACAAATTCTGTACCATCTTATCAAATATGTATATTTGATTTTACGATCAACTGACAATATAGATTTCAAACAAAAATAAATAATAAAGAAAGTCATTCAAACTTTATTGATTCTAATCGAGAATATACTATTCATGTCTATTGTACCATATTATATATATAAAACAATCTTAACAAAAACCTTGCTTATAAGTGTTGTCTCGATTCTCTCTTTTTTAGTTGATATCATTCTTTTTTCGTTTTTTTCTTCCAACACGTAATTACAACATCATCTGGAATCTATGAAACAAAATACATATTCACCCATTTAATGATAAGATAGACAACAATATATATAACCAACATATAAGTCTACACAACACACATTCCATCAACAGTTAACAATGACAAACCAAACTGTCGTCAACATCCTTACGTTACCAGTAGAACTTGTCTACCGGATTTTAGATCATCAATCGAATCTCACCATTATCTGCTCAATGAGAAACGTTTGTCAACGATTCAATAGCATCGTAGATAGCTACGATCGATATCAGGTAAACTGCTTTCTATCTTCATAGTTTACTTTTTATCTATTATCTCGAATTATTTTTCATTCTTACAAACTATAACTAAGTGAAACGAATTAAATAAAATATATATGAATAGACTATTTGCCATTCATACTAATTCATCAGTTATTAATCTCTCTCCCAATATTCCTTTTTTTCTATCTTATCTAAACATTCCATCTTCCAAACTAACTTTGATATCATAAACATACAAAGTGTAGACAAGGACAAAAAAAAGAAGAAAATATTGTTATTTGCTTGAGATATATATATATATAAGCATCTTTTTCTTAAATATCATTTTGATAACAAAACTCAGCTTTTGAAAGGAATTTAATGTCGATAAACGAGTTTATCTTCTTATACATAACTTCCTCGATATTTTCATGAGAAATACTTTCGAACAGTACTCTTTTAAGCGCATGCACGACTGTGAGTACAGGTGATGGCGAATGTGGATTGAGACAAGATAGACCTACAACACCATTCACATGCTCATGTCAATACCTACAAGATGGAATATTTCTACAAGAAACACTACTTCTAAAGCAAATTCTTGCCCAAAATAATTTCGCAGAAACGAGTTTCGTCTAAAGCACACTTTATCAAAGATGAAATTTCGAGAAATATTTGTAAGCGATATTCTTTAAATGACATTTCAGCACACATTCGTCTTTTACTTATAATGAGTCTAACATTAAGGAATAAATTGTTTGACTTTTCACCTTTTATAAAACAATATTGCTTCATGAACACAACCGTAGGGGTGCATCGAGAGCAACTATTGAGATCAATATATATATTCTCACTTATATAAATTATACGCAACATTAAGGCCCAGTTTCGTAACTCACGCGCAGTTCTGATACAAAACATATCGGCTCTGAACAAGGAACATGAAAGAAAGCCGTTCATTAAATAATGAAAAGAAACTACTTATCGTCATACCCACATAGTACTAACAATCGCTGTCCTATACTTTACTATGCTGTAAATCATTCACTGCAATACAGTGTCATTTAAATACATAATACTTCACTTCACAATTCTTTTGGATCGAAGTAACTTGTGAAGTATTTTTCATTATCCATAAACTTTTCCTTCTTTCACGAACATTTAGGAAATACATCAACTCATAGATCAAAATTTTCTCTCCCTACTTTACCCTTTGTAACTTCTTTTCAATCTAGACTTATAGAAAACACCACCATACAATCTACAGCATATAATAATCTATAAATATTCATACTAAACTTCATAGCCCTTAGAACGGAGTGAGAACAGCATGAATTTCGCTGCTTTAGCCCAATGTAACACCGATCTACTCTTTTCTCTTTCCATTTGCGCCGTGCATTTTCCTTCAATTTTTCTTCTAGACACTCACCAAATTAAATCTCTCGACTTATCGAATCAAATATGCGGGAACACAATGTTTAGGTGATGCATTACGTTACAACACAGTAAGTCTTATTCTTTTCTTATCTATACAATGTATCTACCTTCACTTTTCCATGTAGACAATAACCACACTAAATCTTGACTACAATCGAACCAGATATGTGGGAATACGACGTTTACGTGATATATTGCGTTACAACACAGTAAGTCTTATTTTTTCCTTATCTATACTATGTGTTTATCTCCACTTTTACGTCTAGACCCTAACCACATTAAATCTCGAGGTTAATCGAATTGGGCATCCGGGAGCACGACGTTTAGGTGATGGATTGCGACACAACACAGTAACTCTTATTCTTTCTTCATATATACCGCATCTTTATCTCTAATTATTCATCTAGACACTAACCACATTAAATCTCCGATCTAATCAAATCGGAGATGTTGGAGCACAATCTTTGTCTGAAGCATTACAATACAACACGGTAACTTTCATTCTCTCTTTTTATTTATACCACATCTTTACCTCCGCACGTTCATCTAGACACTAACCACACTAATTCTCTGGGACAATCAAATCGGATATGTGGGAGGAAAACATTTAGGTGATGCATTACTACAAAACACAGTAACTCTCATTCTCTCTTTATCTATACAATGTCTTTATCTCCACTTGCTCATCTAGGGACTAACCACATTAAATCTTCATTATAATAAAATCGGAAATGTTGGAGCACAATCTTTGGGTGAAGCATTACAATACAACACCGTAACTTTCATTCTCTCCTTATATATACCACGTCTTTAGCTTCACTTATTTATCTAGACACTCACCACACTAGTTATTTCGAGCAATCAAATTGACCATGTGGGAGTACAACACTTAGCTGATGGATTGCGACATAACATAGTAACTCTCATTCTCTCGCTATCTATATCTCGTATTTACCTCCACCTGTTCATCTAGATACTCACCACACTAGACCTCGGGAATAATGATATCGGACATGTTGGAGCAAAACATTTAGGTGATGTATTACAACACAACACAGTAACCCTTATTCCTTCTTGATCTATACCACATCTTTACCTTCGCTTTTTTTTATCTA